AACTGGTGGCCTCAAGTGATCCTCCCGCTTTGGCCTCCCAAAGTGCTGGGATTACAGGCATGAACCACTGTGCCTGGCCTGTATTTTAATTTCTCATCACAAATATATGAATACTAGCTCTATAAAATTCAAAATAAGAATTGCAGACACAGAACCCTAGGTTTGGAAATGCCTTAAGCTCCCTGGTCTTCCCCTGCTGGCTATGGAAAGATCAGATTGAAAGATTCCGAGCACTATTTGAAAATTAATATGAAGCAAGGAGCTAACTTGCACAAATGCATAGAATGAAAAGGGTAAGAGACATAAATAACAAAATATAGGGCAGTCTGTCTCCTTTGTAAAAACTTTGGCTAGTATTAGATCAACATAATATTATTTTTACTTTTATTTTTCTACAGGCATCCTAGTCTGCTTTTACCAGTTGTATAAAACCTTGATGAGACTTCAAAGTTCAGATGGAGTAAGTTTTGTGGGAAGAAAAAACAACAAGATCTGAGGGAGTCACTGGTTTTAAAAGTATGATAAGTAGTGATGATAAGTAGCATTATCTTCCTTAATAAGTATCTGCCCATGGGGCAGACTTTATCGGTGTAGACTTTATTTCAGCTGTTAATCCTGATTGCATGGAGACCATAGCTTCTTCTGATGTGGTCTCACAGCAGACAGTTCTGGTCAAAGAGGGATCATTAAACTACTTAATTACAGTGGGAGGGGGGTTAGGGATGCAAAATTACCTATGGGCAAAATGTACACTATTCGGGTGATGGGTACACCAAAAGCCCAGACTTCACCACTGTATGGTATATACATGTAACAGAATTCAACTTGTATACCTAAAATTTATTAAAATTTTAAAAAAGGAAAAAAAAGCAACTGATTAGATTGTTTCTGAATCCAAGCTCCTTCCATTAAATTTTTCATTGATTAGTTTGGCAACCAAACTCATTGACTGTTTTTAAATTTCTTTTGCTTTTAAAAAAGAATTAATAGACTCTTTTTAACAGCAGTTTAGGTTTACAGATGGTTGAACAGACAAGACAGAAAGTTCCCATATAACCCCTCTTTCCCCTGCTCAGTTTCCCCTGCTATTAACATCTTGCATTAGTGTGGTACATTTGTCACTATTGGAGAACTCATATTGATACATCCTTATTAACAAAAGTCCATAGTTTACTTTAGGGTTCACTCTTTGTGTTGTGGAGTCTATGGGTTTTGCCAAATGTATAATGTCTTGTGTCCACCATTATGGTATCATAGAGAATAATTCCAAACCCCTGTGCTCCAGTTCTTCATCCCTTTTCCTATCCCCCCAAAAACCCCTGGCAACCACTGATCTTTTTACTGTCTCCATAATTTTGCCTTTTCCAAAATGTCATACAATTGGCAATATATAGTATATTGGCTTCTCAGACTGGCTTCTTTCACTAAACAGTAAGTTTCCTCCATGCTTTTTCTTTTTCTTTCTTTCTTTTTCTTTTTTTTTTTTTGTGGAGATGGGGCCTTGGCTGTTGCCCAAAGTGGTCTTGAACTCCTGGCCTCAAGCAATCTCCTGCCTTGGCCTCCCAAAGTGTTGGGATTACAGGCATAAGCCATGGCGCCTAGCCCCTTTTCTTTTTTTTAAAAAAATTTGATATATGTGTATACTTTGAAATGATGACCACAATCAAATTAGTTAACACTTCCATCATCTCACCTGGTTACCTTGTGTGTGTGTATATGTGTGTGTGGTGAAAACATTTGAGATCTACTCTTAGCAAATTTCAAGTATACAATACGTTATTGTTAACTATAGTCACGAGGCTGTACGTTATTTCCCCGGAGCTTATTCATCAGAACTTACTCATCTTGTAACTGAAAGTTTGTACCCTTTGACCAGCTTCTTCCCATTTCCCTCATCCCTTAGCCTCTGGTAACTCTATTCTCTGTTTCTATGAGTTTGACTTTTTTAGATTCCACGTGTAAGTGAGATCATACAATATTTATCTTTCTCTGTCTGGCTTATTTCACTAGGTTTAATGCCCTCCAGGTTTATCCCTGTTGTTGCCAATGGCAGCATTTCCTTCTTTTATATGGCTGAA